CTCATCCTCTAGTGAAGAATGGAGTAATCCACTCAACACTGCATCACTTAGAAAGTCCCTGCCTCGCCACGCGTCAGTGGCGCACGCCTTTAATCCCAGCACTCGGGAGGCAGAGGCAGGAGGATCCCTGTGGGTTCGAGGCCAGCCTGGTCTACAGAGCAAGTGCCAGGATAGGCTCCAAAACGACACCGAGAAACCCCGTCTCGAAAAAAAAAAAAAAAAAAAAAAAAAAAAAGGAAGTCCCTGCCTGGGTCAGGTCACAGCATTCCTTCCTACAAAAGGCACTTTGAACTAAGAGGGTGGAAGGGTCAACTGTAACGCTGAGGGAGGGTGTCATGTGGGGGTCACTCAGAGTTCTCTAACTTTACATCATATTTAAGCATTCACCTGTTTGTCACGAGGTGTTTCTCGGTGCAGGGTTACTTTTTTCTAACCAGGGTACCCAAGTGAAAGGAACCCTTGAAGAAGCATGAGTGGTTTTCCAAATTATCTACAAAGAAAATGACTCTGAAAGAAAAGAGGAAGATGCCCCTCCCACCCCACCCCCCAATTTCAAAAGCCCCTGCCAGGCCTAGTCTCTCTCAATGTCGCTCCCCAACCCTCTCTCTCTCTCTCTCTCTCTCTCTCTCTCTCCCTCTCTCTCCCCCCTTCCACTCCCTCTCCCTCCTCTTCTCCGACCTCCTCTCTGCCAGCAGATCAGGATATAACTCTCAACTACTCTTCCTGCACCATGCTAACCTGCATGCTGCTATGGTCCTCACCATGATGATAAAGGCCTAAATATTGAAACTATAAGCAAGCCCTCAATTAAATACTTTCTCTTATAAGAGTTGCCTTGGTCATAGTGCCTTTTCACAGCAATACAACAGTGCTTAAGACACCCCCCTTTACCCTTCACACCAAATATTTTCTAACTCTTCAGGGAGAAGGAAATTGTCCATTAATAGAATTCTCTGCAGAGCTGGAACAAGCAGTTCTCCAAATTCAACAAGCTTCACTAGACTCTGCCCATAAAATTGTCAATTTAAAAAAAGTCATTGTCAGCTGAATCTTGTGGCATGATGGCTTCTTATCCCTATTGTGTACATAGCTGAGTTGCTACTCTAAGTTACCCATTATTTCAGTGCACAACAGAGCAGAGGAGGGGGTGAGCCCACCCCAAACGTTAGAGAATAACAAGTGTTCAGCCTTCAGAGGACTGAGAACAAAAATAAGACCAAACACCTTGCCTTAAACATCACCAGATACAGGCAAGTCTTAACAATGGCAGTTACACCTCTCCCTTGGATACCCTGCCATGGGTCCTTTATTGCTCAGCAGGATGTGCGCAGTGTCTTGTTTTCGTCTATTTCAACTGCATAGTGAGTTCCACCTCAATGTCCAGCTTGTTGGGAAACTAGAGAGCCTTGAGATTGGAGTTTCAGAGATGTGAGAGAGGAAAAATGGGAGAGAATGGACCAGTATGGATCCTGAGGAACCTTTTTGTCTCAGTAAATCTTGACCCCTGGCTACCCCAGGACTACTGTTTCCCCTGCTTCCCACACAGTACCTTAAGTTCTGCAAATATGTGATTCATATCAGTTGCTTGGCAATTGGGCAGTGGCTGAAGCTTGCCAGTCGTCCTTCCAGAACTACTAGCAGAGTAGTCCTGGGTGTAGCTAGCATGATCACGCAGGGCAGCCTGCTGTCTCTCTCCTTCTTAATCTATTTAATCTCATCCCTGTTTAATATACTTACTCTTTTTCGTCTATTTTAATCTATTACCTCACTGAGATTATTCCCTGAACTTGTAGTGATTTAGCAAAATGATGTCAGAATGATTCTAAGACCTTCAAGAAAGGCCACAGTCTTAAAAATTGATCTCAATTTATTTCAAAAGGCAAATCAGAAATTAGAAAATATAACAAACTATTACGGATATATGTTACTGTCTTCACTGGAGTTATTATTGCTGTGATGAAACAGTATATACCAAAAAGCAAGAAAACATTTTTATGGGCATGGGAAGTGTGGGGGTTGTTTGTTTTGTTTTGTTTTGTTTTGTTTTTGGCTCATGCCTCCACATCACTGTACATCATTGAAGGAAGTCAAGACAGAAACTCAGGCAGAGCAGGAACCTGGCAGCAGGAGCAGAGGCCATGGAGAAATACTACTAACTGGCTTGTTCCTCATGGCTTGCTCAGTCTGCTTCTTCTGGGCCCTCTCCCACCAACTTCTAATTAAGAAAATGCCCTACAGGTTTGCCTTCAGCATGATCTTATGGAGGCATTTTCTAGTTGAGGCTCACCCCTCTCCAATGACTCTAGCTTGTGTCAAGCTGACATAAAACTAATTGGTACATTAACTGAACATATAATAGTTTCAAATTCAAGTTCTTTAAGTACTTTCCATTTCTTTGGTCTATCATGATTCTCCCAGTAAGCCGTAGAGCCTGATAAGCAGGATTCCCAATAAAATAAGTATTTCCCAGAGAGGGAAAAATATTTATTTTTAGATCTCTTTAATAACATTAACATGTTAAAATGCAAATTTTCAATCAAATTAAAGTTTGCACTATAATATTAAAAGTTACTTAGGACTTTAAAGTATGGCTTTTCACATCTCCCCAAAACCTTTTGAGTGAAACTAAATAACTCTCTGCAGATAGCTTTTTGTAGTTAAAGTCAGGCGATTTCTAGAGAATAGACAGACTCCCAGTCTTGTGTTTCTAGTCCTGAATATTAAGTCACCTGCTTTACGATTGGCTCTTTGGTTGCCATCAGGCAAATCAGTCAACTTTCAGGATTGCACCAGGCACTGGAGATGGGCGGAGACTGTGACTCAACTTTGGTTTCAGCAACCACCTGTGGCAGCTGATGTGAAGACAGAGTGGATGATCATAACAAAGACATTGTCCTCAGTGTGGTGAAGGAGGTGCAGCACACCCCAAAGATGCTTACAGCTTCAGGGAATCACCCATCCCACCTAACCCACATCACCTAAGTAGAAGGGTGCTTATCTGAGAAACTCAAAACCTGTGAAAGCCTCCAGGGGCTATCACGCTTGAAGGAAAAACAAGCAAATAGGATTCCTGAAAAAAAAAAAAATTGCCCAAGAATTCCTCTGGAGAGACTCAGAGCTCCCTGTCCTTGTGACATTTTTCCGTGACCAGGTTTGCTCCTGAGAACCGGACTCAGACCTCTTGGAGGTCACACCACCTTAGGAGAACCCTAGCTCTAGGTGAACACCCCCTGCGCCACCACTGACATGATTCTTCCCCCACCCCATTTTGATGTAAAAATGATTTACCTCGTGGAGTATAATATGTTTATGCATCTTAAAACTTTGAAAAATACAGGGAATAGTTCTTAGAAGAGTCACAACCTAAAAGACTTTAAAATGCTGTAGAAAATCCACACACTACAATCACTATATATAAGACTATACTGTAACCAACATATAGACTACATATATTGCTCACCAAAACTTTTATGACCTGGTAAGATTATCTTAATACAACATTAAAATCATGAAGATGGGCTAGAATGTAAAAAAATGTGATTCTAGTTAAAAATGCAAATAAGAAAAAGAGAAGAAGAGCATATGACAAACTATTAATAATATGGGGGTGTGTGGCTAGTACTGTATTGCTTTTAAACCAAAACACACAGCCAAGTGAGACGATATATATGCAGTATATTGTTAGTGTCATGCAATTGCTTGCTTCATGGAAATATAATTTAATAGTTATTTCTAAAATGAGTTAAAACAGTGACAGCTTATTCAATAAGTGGCTCTCAACCTTCCTAATGCTGTGACCCTTTAATACAGTTCCTCACGTTGTGACGACCCCTCCCATGAAATCATTTTGTTGCTACCTTATAGTTGTAATTTTGCTACTGTTATGAATCATAATGTAAATGTCTGATGTGTAGGATGTCTGATATGCAACCCCCACCCCAGGGGTGCCAGCTCACAGGTTGAGAACCACTGGCTTACTGCCACATACCTCAGTAAAGTTCTTTTAAAAACTCTCTCAAATATATTATTATTTTATCATTTGGTACCAAATATACTAATTATTTTCCTTGAAGTAAATTATAAGAAATTTTAAGGAAGCATGCATTAAAATGTAATAAAATGCAGATTAGTGTTCAAGTTCAAATTTTACGCAGCAGAAAGATGGCTGAGGGTTAAGAGCTCTTGGGGCTCTTTCGAGGATTCAAGTTCGGTTTTCAGAACCCACACAGTGCAGCTCACAGCTTGTCTCTACAGTTCCAAAAGTTCCAACGCCCTCTTCTGAACTCCTGCAGCACCTGTATTCATGTGCACATATCACCATCACACACACACACACACACACACACACACACACACACACAGACGCACACACACACTCTCACACACACCACACACACACACCACACACACTCACACAACTTACACTCACACACACACACACACTCACACACACACACACACACACAAACACACACCTAGATAGAAAAAAACATCATTTTTAAATTTAAGGAAGTTCTTCAAGAACCAATGAGAAAGTTTTAAAGAAAAATGATGATCTTCATACTTCTTCCATTTTATAACAAGCAACACACACACACACACACACACACACACACACACACACACACACACACACACACACACACACAGGGTCGGAGGAGATTTGTGTATATGTCACACAACATATTCCAAGACAGTTTTGTTGTATTTGATTTTAGTTTCTGTTTTTCTTTTATGAAATAAGGTCTCACTTGTGCCCCCCAGTTGGCCTCACACTCACAATATAGCCCTAGCTGGTTTCTAGCTAAAGACTCCCTCTCATGTTAGCCTCTCAAGGACTGGGATTATAGGGGTAAATCATCATGCCCAGCTGCCCAAGCCATATTTCAATTCATGTTACAAATAGTATCATATCAGTGAGCACATTCTCCATTTCAGTGTAAGTCACAAGCATTTGACAAGGTCTTCAAATGTGTCAGCACAGTCAATAGAGTCCTTACCTCCTATAAGGCATAAACTTATAACAATCACTATAGTGAAACACAGGAAAATGGTGACAATGACCATCCACAGTTTACATTTTCCAACCACGGTCTTGTTACAGGGACTCCAGGGACTTTCCTTGTTTGTCTAAAAAGCAAAGGGAGATTATGAGGTAGTCATTGGATTTCAACAAATAGTCTCAAAGTCCTACTAGAGAGCAGTGATGCAGAATTAAGGTCATCAGGCCCTTAACCTCAAGAGGATACACTATACTGAATCAAACTTACAACAGGGCAGAATGTAGCCTCAAGATGAAGGAAGCCAAAGTTCCTCTGGGGGTTCTGACATGGAGACAGGATGATTTTCACTCTTAGAGTTTTAAAAATGTGTGTTTATCTCTTTTCTTTTCTTTTTTTCCTTCCTTATATTTTTCTAAAACAGGTTGTCCTGGAACTCACTTTGTAGACCAGACCTGCCTCAAACTCACAGAGATCTGCTTGCCTCTGCCTATCAAGCGCTAGGATTATATATATATATATATATATATATATATATATGGAGCTCACTGAGATATTGTCAGGTATAATGGTAGATCCATCACCTCCGATGTTAATCATTTCTTCTATATTAGGACTAGCTGTTTTAAAATGTAAAATCATTGTCACCCATCATTGCTCTGTCGTGCTATGGAACACTGTGAGGCATCTCCTCTGTCTATCAGTACTTCTCTTTCTACTGACCACCTGCTTGCCATCACTCCATCCCCTATTCCTTTACCTGGCTGTGATCACAGTACTTCTGCTCTCTGCTTCTGTAAGATCAACATTTTAAACTTCAGCACACAAGTGAGAACATATTTCTCACTGTGTATGGAAGGAAGGGTTTTTGAAGGTATTAAGAACCCAGGAACTGCCCACAGTGGTGGTGCATGCCTTCAACCCCAGACTCAGAAGACAGAGACAGGCGGATCTCTGTGAGTTCAAGGCCAGTGTGGTCTGCAGAGTAAGAGCCAGGATAGGCCCCAAAGCTACACAGAGAAACCCTCTCTCGGGGAAAAAAAAAACAGTAACCAGCTGATTTGTAACAGAATTGGCTAAAGGAACAACCTAAGGTTTGGGGTGCAGTGTCATAAAGAGTCATGAAACTGAGATTAGAGAGTGAAAAGCTAGAGCCCACTGCAAAGCATGTATGTGTTAGCTTTCCCTTACTATACCAGAACACCTGAGAAAATCAACTCAAAGATTTATTTGGGCTATGGTTTAATATTTGTTTTTCGTTGTTTGGGTCCATGGCAACTAACTCCATGGCAGAACACCACAGCAATGGGAGTATGCGGTACCTCATAGCAATCAGAAAGCAACGAGAGAAAATGTCAAAGGGGTTGCGCACAAGATACAACCTTCCAGGACATACCCCAGAGAAGACATTCTCCAAGTAGGCTCTACCTCCTAAAGTGTCCAGTATCTTCCAATCATGCCATCAAATTATGAATCAAGAAATGGACAACCCTGTAAGTGAAGTCAAAGCCCTGAAGATCCAAGTACCTTCCAAAATGCCCATCGCTGTACATTACTGCATTTGGAAACCAAACCGTCAACACATGAGCCTAGAATGACTGCTCATGTCCAACAACTAAGGGTTTGACTGCTGTTAAGGTTAGTTGGATCTAATCTGGTGTGTACCAGTGATCTATTTCAAGGCCTCAGGCAGGTTTTCCACAAGGTGTCTTCTATATACGCTTGCAAATTCCACTGTGCATTTGATGAATGCATTAAAAGGCTATGAAATTTAAGGCTTTTCTCTGAATACTGCAAGGGAGATTCATCACCTCCCCAGGTAAACTACTAAATACATGATGTTCATAAAGGATCTGGACACGTTGGTGGGACTACCTATCTCTGATCCAAAAAGCTTGTCTACTTCTTGGCTCAATTAAGAGCAGCTATTATGAAGACTAAGGGTAAACCTGTTGGTACACAGGAGAATCTGCACTTCCATCTCTTCATTGTGGCATTTGATCTAAACACACACTTCATCCAAACACAGACAGTTGATTCTTGTACTAGATTGAGCAATGCTCAGCAATGGGGCTAATTTGTTAACTCAAATAAGCCTTGGTTACCACAGAACACTCCATTTACTTGTTCATTGTTAATACATGATGATGCCATCACTTAAGACATCTCTGGGCTGCTGAGTTGGGGACCTGGTAACAAGCCATAAAAGAAACCAAGTCTCTCCTTATCAACTACAGTTTCTTTGGTAATTTTTGCCCAAGGGTATTCACAGTAGACAAAGTGGAGTTCGATGGCTTATATTCCTTTTCTGCTACATTCCAAATCCAGATTAAGAAAGGGAGGGAAATTCTTCACACATTCTCCCTAGCTCAACTTTTTCAAACAGGAAAATGCCTACACTAATGGGATGCATATGATGTCAGTGCTAATCTCTGCCCATCATCCATTTACCCATCTACCTAGAATTCCCTCATCAGCCAGATCTGCCCCTCTAGTCCTCACCTGTCATTTAAAAATGCATATATTACATAACTGTATATATTTATTAGTAATATAAAATTTGTGATTGAGGCAACTAGAAATGAAATTATATAAATCAAGTCATATGTATTTATCTGTGCACCATAAGATCAATTACCAGGGGCCAGCCAGATGGTTCAGCAGGTAAAGGTCCTTGCAGCCAAGACTGACACCCTGAATTTGATCCCCGGGACACACACACACACACATAGTAGGGGAGAAAAAAAATTAACCCCAGAAAGTCATCCTCTGAATCCACGGGTGCACCATGGCACATGCACACAAAGGAAATAAATGTAAAATTGATTGATAGCATAGACCTGAGACCTTGGAGCTCTGAGTCCAGACTTGAGGGGGTGCCATTAAGTAAGCCTGAGTAGCTTGGTTGCATCTCTGGTCCTAAGTTTCTTCACTCAGTTCTTTCATCTGTCAAACCTGAAAACTAGTACCCCTCCCCTCTTGTTTCATTTCTGTCATTGTGATAAAACAAAAAAAAGTAAAGAAAAATTAAAAACACCCTGAGCAGAAGCAGCTTAGAGGAAGAAGAAAGGGTTTATTTGGCTTACACTCCCAGGCCACAGGCCATCATTGAGGGAAGCCAAGGCAGGAGCTCAAGCAGGAACTTGAAGCAGAATCCATGGAGGAATGCTGCTGGCCAGTTCCCACACTGGCTCATGCTTAACCAGTTTTCGCATAGCCCAGAACTACCTCCCTGGGAATGGTATCCTCCACAATGGCATGGACCCACCCCCTATCAAATGACAATCAAGACAATCCCTCACAAACCTATCACATACCAACCTGATACAGTTTCTCAACTGAGACTCTCTGGCCAGGTGATTTGGGGTTGTCTCAAGTTGATGGTTGATGCTAACTAGGACAGCTCCTTCTAAGTTGAAAATAATTAACTGCATTTGTGTGTTACGGTATTTCACATATGTTAGGTACAAAACATATGGTGGAAAGTATATGGACTTAAACAAGTATCAAAGTCAGAACTATTATCACACAACTTGAGACCTTGACACAAAAATCTTCAGCATCTGGAACCGGGCTTGTGCAAACTAGTCCTTACTGAACAAAATTAATTGACCGTTCATGTTAAAATGCATTTCTACCTATTCTATAAAATTAGAAGGATTTTAACACAAAAGGGGGTGAGAATTTTGTTCACTGTTTCCTTATTAAAATGTCACCATTCAAGTATTTCTAGAAGGCCCTGCAGGTTCTCATAGAGTCCTTCACCCCTACTCCACTCCATCAGTCAATGAAACTTTACTACTTAGTGACCTACAATGCTATATTACAAGGAAGTCTGGCAAGTCTGTATACATCTGACTAACAAGGAAGTCACTAGGACATGAAAGCACACTCTCTACAAGGTAGGTGTTAAGTAATTGTAAAATTCTGATGCTCAGCATGGATTTGGCATGTTCTCAACTGTTGTTCTTTGGGGATGTGCTGGGCCTGACTGACTTGAGGCAATTAGTTGTAATTTCCATGCCCAGACCCTGCCCTGGAGAATGAAAGTTCCTGGCTATGTCTACCTGCACTAGCCTTCAGCCATATTTTCCAAACTTCACTCATCTGTGGTCCCATTTCATACAAACCTAAGGTGCCAATGTATTCCCCAAGATAGTTATGAAACAAGATATTGCCACACTGTTTCCAGGAATCACTGCGGACCAAGAGTAATGTTTTCAAGCCTTGGATTTTCTACTGAAACCAGCACTTGGCCACAAAAAGGATGGAGGAAGAATGGGGTGAGAAAACCCAGGCTAAAACGATGTGCCCAGAGAGTTGAATGTGCCCAGTAAAACTCAAGCTAACCTTGGAGGTTAATCAGAAGACAGATGGCTCAGAATTCAAGCTCACTGATGTTTTACAAGCATTTGATCTGTGAATAAAGTTCAGCCATTGCCATGGCTGAATCAGAAAAGAGTTTAACCTACACACCCCAAGGACTTCCTCAGAGATGAAAAGACTGGAAGGCTAGTTCTTAGGTAGAACTTTGGTATTATTTCCTTTCTTCTGAGCCGGTGAATTCACCAGGGCCATCTCTCAGTCTGGCCCTAGTTCTTTCCTCCCTGTGTTTCTTCGCACCGGCATGCGCACCTGTCTCTGTGCTGGAGGAAGCAATGACCAAAGTAGGGGAAAACATAATGTGTTTGAAGGTGGGGGAGGGCGAGGACATAGAACTGGGTAGAGATAGAAGGTAATGGACTGTAAGCCACCAGTGATGGGGTGAATGGTGGGAGTGCTGAGGGGGAAAGGGAAAGAGGGGGAGAGGGGAAAGGGAGGAAAGAGGGAAAGAGAGTGGATAACACTCTACCCACCACTCTCTTTTTACTTGCGAATGAAAGAAAAAAAAATATGTAACTTTCTAACACCACCACTAACCTCCAAAGCATTCCTCTCCCTTGAAAGTGACAGCCACGCCCCCTCCAGGGTTCCTGAAGTGTCTCTAGGGGAGGTTTCAGTAGTGGAGAGGTCTGCCCTAAGGCATTCTAGCCTTCTTTCGCCTGGCCCCCTCTTTGTGTGTCCTGAACACTGGAAGGGAGCCCTGGAGCCCTTAAGCGGTTCCAGGCCCCTTTCCTGCTGTCACACACCACAGCCCCGAGTCCTTACCTGGGCCGGGCTAGGGTTCTCGGCGGAGCAAGGCTGGATCTGGAGGTTGAGAGGCACCTCCTCTTCCCGCTGCCCCTCCAGCATCGAGAGCTCCAGCTCTTCCCGGGGCGATGGGGCTCTGGCCCCTTCCATGGCAGAGGACAGAGGCTCTGCCGACAGGCAAGACCCAGGCACCTAAGGTGCAGAGTCCAGGACACTGAGAGTCCGACTCAGCTCACACTCCACCCACCCGGCGTGGCAGGTAGACCTCGGGCGGCGCCGGATATACCTGTGGCAGCTGGCCTGAAGGGGAGGGGCGAAGCCACGGAGTAGAGGCGATTTGGCCTCGGAGAGCTGACCTTACTCCGGAAAGGTAGATGCGGGTGGGACCCTCCTGTTTTGGGCTCCAGAGCAGAGGAGGGCTGTTTTTCTGGTTTGTTCAGCTTGCTGCCTGCAATGCCTTTCCCTGTGGATGAAGACCCAGACCGCCTCAAGTAGCCTGATTGCAAACTGGACTGTGGCAAGGAAGGGAGAGGCTGGGCTGCGGGATCCAGCTCTCAGTCTGCCTTCTCCCTGACCAGTGTGATGCGTTGCGAGGTTTACCCCAGTACTCACTGTCTAGCGAGGGTGTTCATCTACCGAATCACCGATCAGCTATGAATAATCTTCTGTGTGCAGGGCAGCCTGCTGGGTTATGAGCACCCGAATATGAATGATACACAGCCGCATAATTCCCTTTGAAAGCTGCTTCAGGCATAGGGACAGTATCCGTGTCACTGATAGCAGTTAGGACAGCCTATTTGGGAAGTCAGCGACGATGTGTCAGTTCTCCACCCACAGAGTGTTACTCAGGACAGAAGACAGTGACTGGCAGAAGCAAGAACTAATAAAGGTAACCGATTGACTCATTATTGTTTATCTTTGAGAGGAGGGGCCCTAAACACCCACCTTAGGAGAAAGCGCAGCACTTGTGTGGGTAAGTACAGGCAAACACACAGTGCCCTCCACACCCTATGCATAGCTTAGAACTGGATTAGTGAGCCTGGAATTATGTTTGCAAAGCAAAGTGTGGGCTGGGTGTTGGTCTGAAGACGTTATCTCTCAACCTTCTGTTCAAAAACACTGCAGTCCCTCATTCCCTTTCCGGGACATACACAGTTACTAAGACCAAATCTGGGGACTCCAGAAATCTTAGAAACCTAACTAGAAATGTATCTTTTCTTTACAGTACTGGGGTCCATCCCAGGTAAATGATCTACCCTGGGTTACATCCCCAGGCACCAGAGAGATGCTATTATTGTGGTGTTTATCCTTAATTCCAAGGAAAGTCTTTTAGTGTGAGCTAGAAATATAATTTTCTCAGGGTAGTCAGAATTTCTCAATCATTCTTTTCTAATTTGGAAAGTAACACTTCCTGCTCTCTCTCCTTTCACTTTTGAATTTTCTCTGCAGTTCTATGCAGTATCCTGTGCCCTATTTAATAATAATGTTGTTGTTTCGGGAAATGCAACTCAAAACCACTCTGAGATACCATGTTACTCCTGTCAGAATGGCTAAAATCAATAACACCAAAGACAGTCTATGCTGGAGAGGATGTGGAGAAAGAAAAACTCTCCTCCATTGCTGGTGGGAGTGCAAACTTGTACAACCACTTTGGAAATCAGTATGGTGGTTTTACAGGAAAATGGGAATTAATCTACCTCAAGATCCAGCAATTCCTCTCTTGGGCATATACCCAAAGAATGCACACTCATACAATAAGGACATATGTTCAACTATGTTCATAGCAGCATTATTTATAATAGCCAGAACCTGGAAACAACCTAGATGCCCCTCAACTGAAGAATGGATAGAGAAAATACGGTACATTTATACAATGTAGTACTACTCAGCGGAAAAGAACAATGGAATCTTGAAATTCGCAGGCAAATGGATGGAACTAGAAGAAACCATCCTGAGTCAGGTAATCAAGTCACAAAAAGATAAATATGGTATGTACTCACTTATTTTTGATTTTTCAACATAGAGCATTAGTCTACAATTCACACTGCCAGAGGAGCTAGGAAACAAGGAGGACCCCAAGAGAAGATTGCATAGTCCCTCGAAGAAGAGTATGGGGACAAGAACCCCTGACTAAAGTGGGAGCCCAGGGGCAGAGAGAGTTCATCCTTCATCCAGTTGCTGTTCGAAGCAGAAACAGACACCCGCAGCTAAGCACTGAACCATACTACTGGAATTCAGTTGTGGAGAGGGAGGATGGATGAACCAAGGAGCCAAGACGGGGCTGGAGAGACCTGCAGAAACAGTGGACCTGACCTACTGATTGCATGGAGACCCTAGTCATAAAGCTGGGGAAACAGCACTGGACCAAACCAAGCTCTCTGAATGTCATTGCCAGCTAGGAGACCAAGACAGTCTATGGGACCTCTAACAATGGAGGCAGTCTTCAACCCTAGAGCACAAATGGACTTTGGGATCCCATTTCCTATGGAGGGATACCATTGCAGCCCAGATACAGCAAGGAGGGCGTAGGCGCTCCCCCAAACGATATGACAGACTTTGAAGGTCCCTGGTGGAGGGCCTCACTATCCCTGGGGAGGAGTTGGGGGGGGTGTTAGGGGAGGTTGGTGGGGAACCTGGGAGGTTGGGAGGGCGAGGAAATAGGGGGATGGATATGTAAATATGAGTAGTAATTAAAGAATTTAAATAAAAAAGAAAAAAATATTGTTATTTCATCTATGACTTTGTTTCAGAGAAAATAAATAATATTCTTTATTCTTCCATTTTATTTGTTTGGTGCTATGGCTAACTCTGGACTCTGACAATGAAAATATTCTAAGATGTAGTAGTGAGAAACTCTCTAAATTAAACTAAATTAAGAACTGGAATATGTTGAGTGGGTACTGGAGATTTACAGCTATTCAAACATTACAAAGCTTTGAAAATGGAAGAAAAACTTGACAATTTAAGTTTTACAAAAACAACCAAAGGCCAGGAGACAACATACTGAAAAAGGTTGACTTTCAGAAAACTCACAAAAATGCCTCCTGCCTTTCACTGTTGGTCACATTTATCAAGATCAAGTATCCCACAGGTGTGCCTCAGCCCCCCTCTCTCTCCTCTCTCTCTCTCTCTCTCTCTCTCTCTCTCTCTCTCTCTCTCTCTCTCTCT